CACACACACACACACACACACACACACACACACACACACACACACACACACACACACAGAATTAAAAATCCTTTTACCTAGACATGGTGGTTCACAATCAGCCCTCTGGGAGGCTGAGGCAGGAGAATTGTAAAAAGTTCCAGGTCAGCCTGGGCTACATTGCAAGACACTATCCCAAAAGCAAACCAGCCAAGAGCGTTTTATTTTTATAGCGCTGGAGACTGAACCTAGGGGCTCACACATGCTACACGAGGGCTCTGTCGCTGCAATGATGTCCCCAGCCCTTACAGCCTTTTATGCTAAACTACCAGTGTCATTTAGACTGGGCCTCACCCCATCAGCCCACGGACAGCTGTAGCTAGAGTTTTCCTGCCTGGCCCACAGTCAGGACAAATCTCTCTCACCTGCCAGTCCCACAGCCGCTCAGACCCAAGCAAGTAAACACAGAGACTTGTATTGCTTACAAACTGTATGGCCGTGGCAGGCTTCTTGCTAACTGTTCTTACATCTTAAATTAATCCATTTCTATAAATCTATACCTTGCCACGTAGCTCGCGGCTTACCGGCATCTTCACATGCTGCTTGTCATCAGGGAGGCTGGCAGTGTCTCTGACTCAGCCTTCCACTTCCCAGCTTTATTCTCCTCCTTGTCCCGCCTACACTTCCTGCCTGGCCACTGGCCAATCAGTGATTTATTTACTGACCAATCAGCAACACATTTGACATACAGACCATTCCACAGCAGACAGCTAAAGAAAGTTATTAGAACACAGACGTTAATCCTAGACTTGTCCTGACGCCTTGGACGAATCGCAATTCTTTGAAGGCTATTTCCTCAGCTGCCAAGGAAGTATTTAGCGCTTGTCTACATGACGTAAAGGTCAAGCCAAGGAGATTTCCTTTGTTGTAAGCTCAGGCATTAAACTCTCCTAGGGGCCTAGGCTCTGTCAGGTTCTGGTTCGCGCTTCCGACATTCATGATGCAATATGTCTGTGTGTGCTTGTACGTGTATCTGGTTAGCTGCGGCTGTGAGTAGACCACCATGAGATAGTCAATGGTTATGAGCTGCTACACAAGAGGCAATCGAGGACAAAGCTACCATAAAATTCCAAGATGTGGGAGATAGAGGGAGGATAATCAGAAGTTCAAGGTCATTCTCAGCAACATGGTAAGGTACCAGCCTGGGCTACAAGAGACCCTGTCTCAAAACAAAACAAAACAAAACAAACAAACAAAAACAACAACAACAAAAAAGACAAAACAAAACCAAAAAAGCAGGTGTGTTGGTGCATGTCTTTAATCCCAGCAGAGGCAGAGGATCTCTGTGAGTTCAAGGCCAGCCTGGTCTACATAGCAAGTTTCAGACCAGCAACATCTGTATAATGGGGAAAAAAGGAAAAAAAAATCCATGACAAGTAAGCATAATCGGTGATGAACAGCCCTAATGACATCCAGGTATCAGTCTAGCTTCTTGTGTGGGAAGGCACTGACTCCATTTTTCTGTTGTTTGGCTACTGTCTGCTCTTAGAGCTCACTCCTTTCTTCTCCATATCTGGGACAACTGTGTAAAATGGGGAGTTGGAAGTGATTTATGGATATTACACTTGTCTAGTATGGGTGAGGCTCTGGGCTTGTCCCCAGCATCTCAAACAAGCAAAACACCACCATGCAGCCGGAAAGACGGCTCAGCTATGGAGAACACTTGCTCTTCCAGAGGACCGAGTTTAGTTCCCAGCACCCAACTGCCCGTAACTCTAGCTCCACAGATCCTGACACCTTCTTCTGGCTTCCTCTGGCATCCTCCCTCTTACACACACACACACACACACACACACACACACACACACACACACACACACTTCAAAACAAAAACAAATGCCTAAACGTTCTTTGCAGGCAGGTGATTCCCAGCATCGCTAGAGACTCCCATCTAGAGAGACCCATAACCACAGTAAAGGCTATGGGGCTAGTCTTTCCTGGTTCAGTCTACTCCCTGACCAGCTGCTTTTGGCCAATCTCAATTACGTAATAAGTCTTTTTGTTTGTTTTGGGTGGTTTTGTTGTTGCCTTAAGACACATCTCACTTTGCAGCCCAGGCTGGCCTGGAGCTGTGTGGCAACCTCCCAAGTACTAGGATTACAGAGTAAAAGCCACGATGTCTGCGCCGCAGTAACTTTTTTCATGGGTGTGAGGAACAAATGACACTGGGAAGGCCCCTTTCAGGACAGTCTGCCATTAACGTATATGGTGCGAAGGTCTACTTAAAATACCTATCCTAGGGAATAAGGGGTTCTTTGAGGAGACTGATACGTTTTATTCAGCATTGTACACTATAGCATTACCACGATACCTGCTACATGGTAAGTGTTCAATGTTTATATGTTGAGTGAAAAATGCAGATGGATCTGTATGCTTATTCTGATTACTTATATTTTAAAAGCTGGTATGACACAAGAGCCATCAAAAAACTGCTAAAGCTGGGGCTGGAGAGATGGCTCAGTGGTTGAGAGCACTGGCTGCCCTTCCAGAGGACCTGGGTGTTGGGGTTTCTTAGTGAGATGAATTTGCTTTACCCAGCAGGGCTGCATAAGGGGATGGATTGACCACGTGCATGGTTACCAGGTGTTTGGAGGGTCTGCACTTGGCTGTGCTGGGGGAGGTCTTTTGCTCCACCCCTTGGCATTTCTATAAATAGCCCTTTAGAAAAGACAGAAGGGGCTGGTGGAATTTGACCCAGGCCCTCCCAAGGCTATCCTGTGTTCCTATCTGTCTCTCCCCTCTATATTTTTATCTAAATATTTCCCACTTCTCCCTGCTCAAGAGTACCCTGGGGGAAAAAGTAGGGGCAGATCCCCCACACCTGGGTTCAATTCCCAGCACCCACATGGCAGCTCAAAACCGTAACTCCAGTTCTGGGGAACTTCACATCAATGCACATAAAATAGAATTAAATAAATAATTTTTTTTAATTGCCAAAGCATTCATGGGGTGATACAGAATTTAAGAATTTATGTGACGTAGAATGACACTCAAGATCTATTAAAGGAAAAAAATAAATAAAAAAAAGAAGATGCAAGCAAGTCTCTTAGAGAAGTCCACCATACCCATGCTTCCAGGTGTCTTTTCTGAGCACTTTTCTTTTTCTCTTAACCTCTAAGTTTAAATGTGTATATGTATATAATTAAACCCCAACTCTACTTCATACAAAAAGGAAGATACAGTTCACGGAAAGCATCACCCAATTGGACTTAAAATATACATAGAAGAGACAAGAAAATTGGGAGAAAGTTCACTAAGTGAATATCCCCGGGACCTGGGCTCATCCTTCAAGGATAACACATTGGTGGACACCTTGCAAGCCCATTGTGGTACAAAGGACCATGTACCTACCTGCACGTGGGCTCAGTGCCTTAACCTGGGTGGGCAGCTGGCTACCAGAAGTATCTGAACTCCTAAGTCCACAGCTGCAGACCCCACTACACAGAAAGAAGGGTGCTTTTGTATTTTGTTTGTTGATACAGGCAGCGTCCTACAGTGTAGCTCTGGCTAGCCTGGTGCTCACTCACACTGTACGAGGCTAACCTTGAAACTCCAGGCAATTTTCCTCAGTCCCCCAGCTCTGGGATTATAGGTATGCACCATCATCACCACACCCAGCTGCTTAGTTTTCTGGGGGAGGGGGGCATGGGGACACACAACACATTGACCCTATTTCACAAGTCAAGTTACAATTCTCCACCTGTGTGTTCACACTAAATGACCTTACCTGGAGTGTAGGGATGTCAGAAAGCCCATCACACCCTTTAGAAATGTCTCGGTTTATTTGTATATCCCAGTTTGTGTAAATTTTACCAATTCGATTGCCAGAAGGAAATCTTTATCCAATTTTAATAAATTTTTAAAACTTTTTTAGTATTTAATGTTTGAAGGGAGAGGCTAGAATAATGGATGCCTGCTTCCCACCAAGCCCAACCACTCCATGGGACCCCCATAGTGGAAGAGAAACAAATCCACAAATTGTCCTGACATCCACGAGTGGGCAGTGGCATACCCCTTCCACCAATATGTACATCCTTAAAAATTTACGTATGAAGAAAGGAAGAGAGGAAGCAGAGGAGCCAGGAGCTGTGTTAGAGCTTGGACAACAGCTGAAAGGTTTTAAAAACTTAACCTAGAGGGTACAGATGTAAGGTCAGTTGGTGGAGAGCTTGCCTAGTGTACATGAAATCCTGGGTTCAATCCCCAGCACGGAATTGAACGTGCTATGGTGGCCCATGCCTGTAACCTCAGCACTCAGGAGGTAAGGCAAGAGGGTCAAAAGTTCAAAGTCATCTTCAGCTACACAGTATTTGAGGCCACCCTGGGCTACATGAGACCCCATCTTTACAAAGTTAATAAAGATTGTAAAATGGTTAGAAAAGAAAAATTAAGTTTGTGTTTATACTTCCACACTCTCCTGGAAATCAAGCAGAGATGTTACTGTCACGGGTCACACCCAGGATGGTCTATGAAAGCAAGCTGGTCTTTTTATACCCAAAACAAGCAATAACCAGAAGGAGAGCAACAAACCCCTTTTCAGGGCTAGCAATGTAGTTCAGCTGGAGTCCCAGCACAAGGTAAACCAGGCGGGATGGCACACATGCCTGTAATCCCAGTAATGACGAGTGGAACAGGATCAGAAATCCAAGGTCATCTTGGGTACATTCTTGACTACATATCAAGTTTGGGGCCAATGAAGGCTAAGTAAGACCCACCTATTTATTTATTTGTTTGTTTGTTTGTTTGATGTATGTGTGTGTGTGTATACACATATATATATATACACACACACACACACATATATAAAATCAAACCTTTACTATTGTGCTTTACACTGACCAATGGTTCTGAATCAAGCAGCTGAGACTGCTTCCCATTACAGAGCCTTCCCTTTCGCACCTACCAAGGAAGGACAAAAAAAGAAAAAAAAAAAAAAAAGAGAGAGAGACAACTCGAAAACAAAAGGATTTAAAAATTATTTTTATTACAATAAATATTTATCAATAAAAGAATTAAACAGTTTAAAACTAAAACCTACTGCTTTACTTTTGGAGTTCACAGCAGCAGACATGAACACAAATCCAGTTGACAGGTCAAGGCTTCTAGAATCAGATGACAAGAAACAGGTCTTGATTATCTGGACTAGCAGCAGGGAACAGTAACACAGATAAAGCAAACATCACATTCAAACGCCTCGGGGTATTCTACTATACAGCAAATCACAAGACTTGGAACATTCCAGTAAAGTTAAGCAAGCTGCAGAGCTCTGCTTTGGCAAGGGCAAGTATTTCCCTGACGAGTTCACAGGCACACTGCTCCCAAAGCTGCCGCCTAGTCAAAAAGGGCCCAGCAGACCCAGAAACCTTAACCCTCAACAGAGCAGCCAACCACTCTCCAAACCAGTCTTTCTGGTTCACCAGCTCCCCGATGAAAAGGAAGTGGAAAGTGATATACCTAGAGGGCTTTCTCAAGGCCTGAGATGGCTCCAGGTGGGTAAGTGGCTTTCGATGTGGACCATGGGCACCCCAAGTCCACACACAGCAACAGTCTAGTGAGGGTTACCACCTGGCTGATAATCAGGAGTAAACACCATGTCGATACCATATCATATGTATAGACAGAGAATAGGTGTACACATTAAACGTGTGTATATACAGAGCATATGGCAGCAGATTCAAGAAATGCTACATATTTACCATCAGCACAGCAAGTCCTATATAGGCCAGCTACAATTAAAAGTACTTGAAAGTGGGAAGCTATTATGTCCTTTTTATCTGTATCTCTGATAGAATTTTCATCCTCTGCAGCGAACACATCCTGTGTGCTCCAGTGGTGGTGTGTAGGTGCGGAGGGAAGGGATGGGACTGTCCTCTTGCTTCAGAAGACAACAGAAAATCCACTGGGAATGGCACCAAATTAAACTCCCAGCCACAATTCCTGCCGCACATTCTTAGCATAGGACATGAAACCTTACTCAAAACGGTAGTCATTTCTTTTTTTACCTGCCATCATTTAACCCACTGCTAGGCCGGAAAGGGAAGAGCAGGTGGCCTCCTTTATACACTGGTCATTGTGGTCTTCCACTCTGCCCCAAAAGGGGGAAAACAACATTTTTTTTTAAACTAGAATTCGGAGTTCAATACTGACTGACTTCTGCTTTCTTGGGACATTTTGAAATGAGCTAATCATTAGCCTGTTGATGAATAACAGTAATTGCAATAGATCACTGATGCAGCCAGGTTAAAAAAAACCGGCCACTTCCAGAACCTGCTTAGTTACCTCAAGTACAAAATAAACAAGTTCCAGGTCATGAGGTTTTCTCTCTAGATATTAAAAAAGTGCTTACCAGGAATACCACGATCAAGACTGCATCAAGAATTATTTTTGGCCGGGCGGTGGTGGCGCACGCCTTTAATCCCAGCACTCGGGAGGCAGAGCCAGGCGGATCTCTGTGAGTTCGAGGTCAGCCTGGACTACCAAGTGAGTTCCAGGAAAGGCGCAAAGCTACACAGAGAAACCCTGTCTCGAAAAACCAAAAAAAAAAAAAAAAGAATTATTTTTGTTTATGAAAAATTCAAATCCACGCTTATTTTGATTGTTAACCAAAGAAACTGCTTAAAAGATCTTGTAGCCACTGTGATAGAAAACACCCACAGTATCAGTCACTCCCTGGATAGTCAATGCGATCTTTGATTTCCGTTTTAGAGCTCAAGTGGGCACTGGCCTCTCTTTCTATTTTAGACTTTCAATGGCCATGATCCAACTGCCATAAACATAGCCAGACTGACTTAGTCCAGCTTTCTAAGAATGATTCTCTGAAAGGGAGACAAGAGGAACAGCCGAACAGCCCAGAACAGCCTTTCTTGTTCTGCCCAAAGGTATTTTCCTAGAGAGACAAGCCCTTGTCAAATACTCTAAAATCAGTCTGTGTGGCACTTCCAATCCTGGGAACCCAGACTTCCTCACTAAATGAACAAAACCTGGTTCAGGCTGCCTGTGGGAGATCTCCAAAGGGCAAACTCCTCCTGCTACCCTAAATGTGAGCTTGTTCAATGTCTATAAGAAGAACATATCCCTGCTTAAAAGACAGAGACAATAGCCAGCTGCTGTACTAGTTCTTGAGTGTCTGTTTATTAAAGAGCAAAGCACACTACTAACATGCAGGCTGGAGAGTAAGTTACATTTAGTTTGTACTGTAAAAACCCTGGAAATGAATCAGCCAGCAAAGCCAATTCCCAAGACTCCATGCAAGAAAAAAAAAAAAAAAAAAAAAAACACATCACCACTTTCTCTGGGAAAGTTAGATCACGATGATTTACCACGTACTCTGAAGCCACTGTCTGTTCTGATGTCAGTCACTGTCGAAGAGGATTATAAAACAAAAAACCCAAAAATATACAAATCACATGGGTTACATAATTAATAAAAGAAAAGCAGAAATTTATGCTAGCTTTTGAAAATTCCTAGAGTCTCACACATTCAAATTTCACAGTGATTAATTAATTCAACACCATTTTCCTGTTAGGAATGTCCCTTCCAATGTAGCACGCTAGTTACCATTCTTTCTGAAAGGTTGGAGCAGGGGCAGCTAACTATAATCAGATTACTCACCCACCGGATGCTCAAGACAGGGCATGCTGCCTTCAAATGACATTTCACGGGACAAAAAAAAAATTCTGGTCTGACGTCACAGATTTCTGACAGACAAAGGGCTTGACCAGAAATGAGTTAAAATAAGGCCGCTCTGAACATAGGCATCACCACCAACAATACTTCTCTGCTTCTGGCTTTGGGAGACTCAAAACTCAAAAGCTGCAACCCACAGGTTTTACTTTCTTCTCTGGGGGAGTTCCCAGTCTTCACTAGCCAAGAGATAAAATGCATTCACCGTCTGAATGTGGCAAGGTCTGGAGGCAGCCAAGCCTGGCCTCAATGAGCTGCTTCTGTCCTTCTGGTGGCTACAAGAAGGTTTCAAGTTCTAATAAAAAGGGAAAAAGCAGTCGGGCGGTGGAGGCACACGCCTTTAATCCCAGCACTCAAGAGGCAGAGGCAGGCGGATCTCTGAGTTTGGGGCCAGCCTGGTCTATACAGTGAGTTCTAGGACAGCTAGGGCGTCCTTTCTGGAACTCCACCTCCAAAAAGGGGGGGTGGGGAATAGTACTGAACTTAAATACCTCCAATTTAAAAAAATTATCTTTTTATTCTTCATAGGTCATGGAGTTGAAGTCTGCTTTGGGAAGCAAGGTGCCACCCACACACCTTCTGACTGCACCATATTCCTTTAACGTTCAGGTTCCAAGTCACAAGCAACATTCTTGGCATGTACTTAGCATGTGCTAACCCCAGACATACACCTCCCTCCCCAGTGCCTGAGCAGAGAACAAACGGCAGTATTAGAAGCAGTTTGTAACATCCTAAATCATGTTCAACGTTTTCTTTTTAAAATTGGAATTAAAAGTATGTCATTCGGAATATTGAAATGCCAAGGAAGAATGGTTATATTTTTACTTCAAAGTTACTCTACAGCTCTAAAACCTATCAACTATTACTATTTCTCAAGACAGTGATTGTGGCAATTTCAAGATCATAAATATTATCGAAAGATCAGAGGTGGCAGCCTCTATCCAAGTATTGTTAACATCTTTCTATCCCACACCCTCTCGGATACAGGGAGATTATTTTCTGACAAGCCTGAAAGGGCTTTTTCATACCATAACCCGAAGAGAAGGCTCTGAAGGTCTCTGTAGTATGCGTCCAGCAGAGTAACAATGCCAACCCCTAGACTGGCTAAGGCACTCTATTCCCCACGCACAGAGAGCATGAAGGCGTGCTCCTGACCGCAAGGCCTCTCCCCAAGACACTGGCAAAAGTTGTGGGGTAAACTCACCCAATAGTGTACATAAGCTTTCAGTACCTTTTACATTTGGGAAGTGTAGAGGAAGGGGCGTGACAGAGACGCACAGAGCTCGTGAGAACCAAGTCCCTCATCCCCTCCTGTACCGCTACAACAAATGCGTCTTTTAAGATGCACCATCAAGACAGAGGACGTGAGCAGGCTAGGAAGGAGTCCCAGGTCCACAGGATTCTGAAACCCTGACTGCCTGGTTCCGCTTCCCTGTCAGTAACCTTCTCTTCCACTCAACAGTGTCAACAAAATAATCTAAACTAGAATTCTTTACCATCACAGAGACATGTTAAACACAAAACAAAAGGCACAAAACATATTTTCAAATCCACTTGATGCAATAAAAAGAGGACAGATACATTTAAAAGAAAAAAAGGGGGGGGGTGCCTCAAATTATAGGACATGATTCTTCAGTATACAGGATAAGGTGAAGAAAGCCTGTGGTCCAAATTCATTATTTTATAAATATTTATGTTATTTTCTTTTATACAAATGATTATTCTTGTGTACAAGGCCAAGAGTGAAATCATCAGCCAAAAACCTTATCACAAAGCTCTTTCCCGACTCCGAGTTGCCCAATTCAGTTCTACAGAGCTTGAGTACACAGGACAGTTATCTTCATGTAACTGGCTTGTTTTCTGACCTCCATGATGGCAATTTATTAACGAACACAGAATCACTACCCACTTTCCACATCAATTTCTGCTTTCATATTTTTGTCTCAGAGAAAGTCCCCAAACACACAAAAACCTTACAAACGATTAACACTGAGCACAGAACTGTGGGTTAGCTCCTGGATCACTTTCAACAGCCTACACGACAATGATTAGGATTTAAAAATGTTCAGGTGGAGCATCAACCAGTTACTTTTTACAAAGCAGCAGACAGAAACTCAACAAAGGAATGAGCTACAATATTTAAAGATGGTCACATTCATAGGTGATAACAGTTACGAATTTAATTACATACCAACACAGTGGTGCCTATCTTATCCAAGTGCAACCTACCCAAAAAAAAAGGGGTTTAAGACACACTCTTCATTTAAGCACAAACCTCATTCAGTGGAAACTAAAACCAGCAAGAAATTTCACCACCAAACTAAATAAAGACAAAGCCCAAAGAAAGAAAACATCCACATTCATAAAAAGGTGAGATTTAGGAGATAACAGTACAGCTAAAGGGGTCTTTGTGTTGTGAGTAAGCCTCAAAAATTACTGAGTCGTATTAAGGGAGGAAATATTCAGTAAGGCAGATATATCAAAAGTTTTCTTCAAATAGGGAGGTGGGAGAGTTCAGGGGAGAGAGAGTCTCTCTGCCGTATTGGTGTGAGATTAAAAACCACAGCACCTCACCCCCAGGAGAGAAAATGAAAGCAAGCCAAGACAGGTGGACAGGCAGTGCTGGGGTCGGATCTGGTCACCAGGAAGTTCTGAGATTCCTAACTCCAGTTGAACTTTTCTCTCACAAGGTACTGTGTCTGCAGCCTCATGAGAATGGGACTGTCACACACAACCTTAAGAATCAGCTCACAGGCACCCACCCAATCCTGACAGCAGGAGTAAACAATGAACCATGCCACAGTAGTGAGCTGTACTTACAATCCCTTCTCTACTGAGTAACAACAGAACACTTCTGTCTAAAAGAAAATGAAACCATTTATTGGCATTTAGCCACAGTAAGAGCCAGGACCCCAGACATCCTCTCAAAGTTTCCTGGGAGAACCACCATGATTTGGCAACTAAGCACTGTTGTTCAGTCACTGGTATCTCTGGCCAAAGAGACTTTTTTTGACGCTTCTCTACATTAGATTTGGGCTGTTTACCATTTCCGCAGCTAAAGATCTTCTATAAAGCATCAAATATTAAGACATGCTGTGGCTATCTGAACATTATTAGTGTTCCTGAATCAATCTGGGGGCTTTAGACATAAAAGTAAAGCATCCTTAACTCTGTATGAGTCGAAACATTATGGACTCATGAAGCTAGGAACATTTAGCTGGTTTAATGTACACTGTGCTTAACCAAAATGTTTCATGGTTTTATAAAAAAATAAAGTTGGAAGTTAGAAAATCCAAAATTCCACAGCTCAGATCACGTTCATTCCTGCTGTCCACATGCCTGCCACATACTGCGATCCCACATCGGTCAAGCAGACCAGTTTAGTCCGATGGTGATGGAGGAGATATTTACAAGCGTCTATTTACAAGACTTCCTGAAGATTACAGGCCGACGTTCTTTTCTTCCATTCCTAGTCAGTCTGAGTTTGGTTTCCTCAGTGAAAATGGGTAAATTTGAAAATGGCTGCTCAGTTGCTTCACCTACAGAGAACCAAACACAAGACAGTTACAACCCGCACCGGAGTCTTCTGGGACATACTCAGAACTCCCCTCTCAGACAGAACCTCACCGACACAGGGAAACTGCAGGAACAAAAAGGTTCTGGGGACCAAGTTCTAGCCACTCTAGTGGAGCCTTCTGGAGCAGCAAATACACACTCAAACCTACTGAGGAACTACGTGATTATCAGCCCTCCAACAGCTTGTAAAGAAAACAATCGCCTTGATAAGTCAGACTCGGGAGTTAGCTTCCTATACAACTCTGCTAGGAAATGCTTCCTAGCCTGGATAAAACAGTACAAAATTAGGTCTGTGACTCTGAAGGCCGTGCTGGCTAGGGTATCCCCGGCAGGGAGACAATTCTTCGATACTTTTCATTTATATGTAAGTCAAGACTTTGTGTGGTCTCTGGTTAGAAGTAATAAATAGCACAAAGATGGACAAGAAAGATGTTCTTCCTGTTAGCATGTTTATTCTCTAGATTCCTTAAAATTATCCTTTATTTTTTAAGTTTGATTATTTTTGTCTGTGGGTATTGCTTACATGTATGTTTGCTCACCATGCGTGTTCAGTGCCCAACAAGTCCGGAAGAAGGCATGTGATCCCCTGGAACCGGAGTTACAGATGGCTGTGAGCCTTCACGTGGATGCTGGGAACTAAACCCAGGTCATCTGGTCCACTGAGCCATCTCTCCGGCTCCCCTTTTTCGTTTTAGATTTATGTGGGGAGAGGGGCACATGTGTGCCACCGTGTGCATGTGGAGGTCAGATAACAGGGCGCAGGGGCTGACTGGCTCTCTCCTTCCTCAGGAGGTTCTGAGACCTGGGAACAAACAGCCACTTCACTGGCTCCATGAGAACTCATTTTTATTTATTAGTGTTGGATATGTGTATAGTGCATGTGTGCTATGTCACACTTGTGGACAGGTGGAGGTCAGACGACAACTCTGTGGAGTCAGTTCTCTCCATCCATCTTTATGGGGGTTCCAGGATCAGACGCATGTTACCAGGCTTGCAGGCCTCACCTGCTGAGCATCTCACAGGCGCTATTGTCCAGATTTTACCAATAAACGTGTACTACTTTTATAATGTAAAAAAGACTGAAGGCTGAAGTGGGGATCAGTGAGTAAAATGCTCACACAGCACGTGTAAGACACTCGGTTCAATCCTCAGCACTGAAAAAACATTGGTACTGAGGCTGGAGAGACGGCACAGTGGTTAAGAACGTGTACTGTGCTTATAGAAGACTGGAGTTCAGTTCCCAGACCCACATTGGCAGCTCATAACTGCCGGTAACTCAGCCCCACAGATCCACAGGACCTGATTCCCTCCTCTGGCTTCCACAGGCACTACACTCACATCACAACTCCACACACACAAAAGGCATGTGTTTTGGTGGAAATGCAGTTTCTAAAGAGATGATTCTAGCCAGGTGTGGTGGCACACCTTCACTCCAGCTCTCAGGAGGTGAAAGCACGTGAGGCAGAGCTACGTGCCTCCAGGCCTGTCTGGTCTCCAGTCAGTTCTAGACCAACTAGGACCACACTACTGTGGTGGTATTGTGTTCCCCAAAATATTGTGCACTCCAATAAACTTATCTGGGGTCAGAGACAGAACAGCCACTAGATACAAAGGCTAGAAAATGGTGGCGCACACGCCTTTAATCCTAGCACTCCAGAGGTAGAAATCCCTCTGGATCTCTGTGAGTTCAAGGCCACATGCCTTTAATCCTAGAAAGCGAGCCTTTAATCCCAGGGAGTGATGGTAGAAGGCAGAAAGATAAGGCGTGAGGACCAGGAACAAGAAGCATTTGGCTGGTTAAGCATTTGGCTGGTTAAGCTTTCAGGCTTTCGAGAAGCACAGTTCAGTTGACAGCCATTTGGATAGGAGGACACAGAGGCTTCCAGTCTGAGGAAAGAAGATCAGCTGAGAAGTTGGCCAGGTGAGGTTAGCTGTGGCTTGTTCTGTCTCTCTGATCTTCCAGTGTTCACCCCAATACTTGGCTCCAGGTTTGATTTTACTAATAAGAACTTTTAAGATTCCTGCTACACACTATATAGCGAGACTTTGTTTGGAAATTACAAGACACTGGCAATAGCATTCTATCACTCATATGATCAATGAAAGAGCAAGATAATGCCCAAGAAAATTGGCAGAAAGCATATAATGAATCTTTAAAAATAAAAATATAAACAATTATCTGACATCAGTTCATCAGGTTTCTCACAACAATAATCCAGAAATAAGGACGTTTGGTTCGTCAAACCGACTCTCAGCAGGGCTCCTTTCAAACCAAACACAGGGAGCAGGTGCTAGAGCGGCAGTGTGGATGTACACACTGGCCCCTGCAGTTATCCTCTCAAAATGACACCAATCAAAGACAAGAGTGTTTCAACTCGTTCATACTAACGGTGTAAAAACTAAATCACTCGGGAAATCAGGTCAACTGATGAGGACTAGTAAACTGGGTACTATTGGTGAGCTCCCTGTTAAACTACAATGCAGCAATGACTGAAATATGTAAAATAACTAGAAAACTGGAAAAGCTGTTCCGGTGGGAGGGAGAGAGAGGCACACGGTTCTGACATCATCGTCCATTCATCCTAACGTGACTCTTACTCAGGAGGAGAGCAGTGGGTGTACAAAGTGCTTGTTTATGTTTGTGGTTTCTGGAGACAGGGTTCTGCCACGAAGCCCAGGTTAGCCTCAAGCTATCTCCTGCTTCTTCGTCCTTAGCACTGACAGCGGTGCTCTGCCCCTTCTGGAAATACTAACCATCTTCCTCTACGGTTTTTCATTATTTGCTGATAAAGGTAAAGGCTCCTGAGATAAAAGCTGAAATATTGCAAATGACTTCCTCTCGTCTAAAATTCTAGTCTGCCCAAGCTGGCCAGTTGTTTTTGTGGTTGTTGTTTTGTTTTCTAAACCTGACATAAGGTAGAGTCATCTGGGAAGAGGAACCTCAACCGAGAAAATGCCTCCATCAGACTGGCCTGTGGGCAAGCCTGTAGTTCCCTTTCTTGATTAATGATGTGGGAGGGTCCAGCCTATAGAGGGTGGTGCCACCCACAGACAGATAGGCAGTCCTGGGTGATATAAGAAAGCAGACTGAGCAAACCACAGGAACGAACCAGTAAACAGTGTTCCTCCACGGCCTCTGCTTCAGTTCTTTCTTGCTCAGGGCTCCTGCCCGGACTTCCTTTGATGATGGACTGTGATATGAAACTATAGGCAGAAATAAACCCTTTCCTTCCCGAGCTGCTTTTGGTGACAGTGTTTATCACAGCAACAGAAACCCGATTCCAGTTCTCACGGGATTAGGAAGAGACAGGGGAGTACTATAAACCAATGTTACTTGTTTTCCCCAAATTAAATTAGTAAGCAATAAAAATGTCCTAGGACTAAAGAAACAGAAACTAACCGGATTATTTGGTCTCACATAGTGAAAAGCACAGACAGTGTTTTCTCAACAAGAAAATCACTTATATAACGATTTAAAATAACAGCTCATTACCCATAATCACTCACTTAAAAATAATTTGTAGTTGGTATAATCAGTAGAAAAGTGTCTGAAATTACACACTTACATGTCACCTAAACCTTGGGCGTCTGTCTCCTCCCCACTCCCAGCTGTTACACTAAGCCAGCCTCCTCTGCAGTTTCCCCATAGAGTACATTCCTGCTCCGCTCTCCATTACTCACCACTTGTACTCCGTAATGGATGTGAGCCAGAGTGAAGGCTGCCGTGAGCCCGTGAAGGAGAAGACTCTCCAGGTGGGAGGCTGCCGCACCCACGCTCACTGTGGTCACCACCAGGAAGAGAGGAAGCAGCAACCAGTTCAAAGTCGGGCACCGAGTGCTGCTCATTTGGCAAACGATTAGCTTACACTTGGGAGAAGCAAGGAGAGAGGAGGGAAAGAGGGGCATTGATTAGAAAGCACTTTCCAAACCGGCCACACTTCCAAAGCTGCTTTCAAGAATATTGTCAACAGCTCCAACTGCTCAGGGCCCCAGCTGGCCCGAGCCCAGCCTTGAAGCACTGATCTCGGGACCGTGTCAGAAGAGATAAGACAACGCAGTAAGGCTGTCTGCTGGTTCATCTCCACTACGAGCTGGACTAGACTTAGAATGGTCTCGGAAACACACCTCTGGGCATGTCTGTGCAGAGTTTCCCCGAGAGGTTTAGAGGAGGAGGGAGGACCCACTCTCTATGTGGGCAGCGCTATCCATGCGCTGGAGTCCTGGACTGAGTAGAAAGAGAGAGGGGAGCCGAGCACAGTCCCTAGCCGCTTCCTCACGGCCGTGGACCCACACTGTGACCTGACACTATGACTGCCCGCCAGGATGAAGTCTTTTCCTTCTTACAGCAAAACGAACCCTTCCTTAAGGGAGGGGCCTGTCAGGTTCTCTGCTACGAGATGAGAAAAGAGCTAACCTAGATGCCACAGAAGGTATTTCCTCACAGTGTGGTGACAGCTTAGACAGGAGAAGGAGCTCCCAATTTTAAAACTGTGCCATGTGAAGAACAATTTCCAAACAGCCCCTAAGCCTTGACACAACCGAACTTCTTCATGGAATGACAACCTCCGACCTCCGACCTCCAACCTCCAATCAGCAATGAGCACCTTTCAAAGCTGCTTTGATTCTTTTTCTGTTTTGTTATTTTGGTTTTGTGAGATGTGGTCTCGTATAGCCCAGGCTGGCCTTGAATTACAGGCATAAGCTACCACATCAGGCTTAGGTGATTTTTTTAAAAATAAAAAGTCTTACTGTGATATTGGCAAAAGCTGTTCCAACCATGAAGTAGAATATTCTAGGGTGGATTTCTAAAATATCTGAAGGAGAGCGGAGGATCCACACTGTAGATAAAACGAAGAGCAAGCACGGAGAGAAGAGAGGGACCATGGCTTCATAAACGGAACTGTGCTTCAGGGTGTTGCTTTTGTAACTTCTGAAAGATCAGTACAGAACTCCGTTACATCTAAGGCACACACCTAACACCTACCGTCTCCAAACTCCTTTCACATGTATTCTTAATGTGTATTTACAGTCCCATAGCACAAAGAACAACATCATTAGCCCCACTTTAAAGACAGGCTAAGTTAAGAAGAAATGCTCTAAATTTATTAATTGCTACCAAGGCCAGGATTACAAGTGAGGTTCCGCCTGATCAATCCCCCCCCTTCCTTCGTTTCTCTATTTTAGACAGGGACTCACTTTGTAGCCCTGGCTGGCCTGGGACTCACTATGTAGATCCACCTGCCTCTGTCTCCAGAGTGCTGGGATTAAAGTAAGGTACTACCATGCCTGGCCCATGCCTGGCCCCCTTCTTACTTTTTAAACCAAACAGTCAACAGCTGTCATAAGAATGGAAAGATGGGGTTAGAGAGAGAGAGAGAGAGAGGGGGTTCTCAACCTGTAGGACGTGACCCCTTTGTGGGGGGTGACCCCTTCACAGAGGTCACATATCAGATATTTACATGATGATTCATAACAGCAGCAAAATTACAGATATGAAGTAGCAACGAAAACAATTTTATGTTTGGGGGTCACCAAAACACGAGGAACTGTATTAAAGGGTTTTGGCATTAGAAAGGTTGAGAAACTACTGGCTTGGAGATTAAAAGCCCTGACTATTCTTCCAGGGGTCTGAGTTTGGTTCCCAGCACCTACATGGAGGCTCACAAACATCTGTAACTCCAGTTCCACGGGATCTAATACCCTCTTCTGGTCTCCCTGGGCAACAGGAATGCATGTGGTACAAAGACATACATGCAAGCAAAATACCCATACATATAAAAAAAAATTTAAAGGGATACGGATTTTAGGGCAGATATATTTCACACAAAAGACCCTGAAGAGAGACGGCCAGCACATCTCGGTGTCTCTAAGTACACTGGAGTAATCCAGCATGCCCGCTCATGTGAACAGGGCTCCTGTTCTAGTCTTGGTTTAGTTATTGATCACATTACCTTGGACAGTGTGTGGCCCAATCAAAGCCTCATCTATAAGAGGAGGAAATGACTCGAATGATCAGTATGGCTTGCCAATTGTAAATGCTATCACTTTATTATTATTGTTTTTTTAAAGACGGGGTCTTACTGTGTACTGTTGGCAGACCTGGTACTCAGTACACAGCCCAGGCTGGCTGGCCTCAGCCTCCGAAGTGCTTCGATTATGAGTGTGCCCCACATCTGACTTAAAATGTACCAGTCCTATAGATGACAGTCACCACAACAGAAGCTATACAGACATGGATAAGAGTCCGGAAGACAGAGCTGAGCGCTAAGGGACTGAGTAGGAAGAACAGGGTAAAATAACAGGAGCAGAGGAAACAACCAGAGCAAAGTTATTGAGATGTGAAAGAACAAAATATATTTGGACAAAACAAGGCAAGGCAGGACAGCCAGCAAAGATGGGTGTGCACAAATCGGAATGGAAAGTCCACCTCTACCCTACCTCAGAACCATTCCCCAATGTGAGAACGGCAGCATGAGGTTTGGTCCTAACCCACACCCACACTCAGAAGTGTTACCTCATTAACGACACTGTGATTCTCCACGACAAGAATGTGAGCAAGTCAGTATTTCACAAGAAAATACCCACTCCTTCTGGGGAGATTCACTCACAAAAGTGACAAGCTTGAAGCCGGCTGAGCCCCAAACCTTCACAAACGCCCTGACCGTTTTACAGTATAGCTGAGCTGACGACATTAGCCACCAGAGACAACATCAATGATCACTTTCCCACTCTAGATCCGAAAGAGGCTTCTAAACCTTTTCAAAATGTCCAAATCACAAAAGTAAACACTTAGCCGGGACTGATGGCGCGCACCTTTAATCCCAGCACTCAGGAGGCAGAGGCAGGTAAATCTCTGTGAGTTTGAGGCCAGCCTGGTCCACAGAGTGAGTTCCAGGACAGCCAGGGATACAACACAACTGTTAAAGATTGCCTTTTCTTTTTTTTCCCCACAACTTAAAAAAAAAAAATACTTACCTAAAAAAGTTTAATAAACTCATTGGAAGAGTCACACATAATGCACAGCCTAAAAAGAAGAATATTTAAATTATTATGAATTTCAAGAGTGATTATTTTACAGTAACTGCATCCATGAAAAAGTCTGGTATTTTAGGGCCAGTAGTCTTCATGTTCAAGCTTATTACTAGAGGAAAACTCCTTGTCTAAAGAGCAGTTACAGGTGAGAGAGGTCGGTACAGTCTGTGACCGTCTGAAGTGACCAGCCTGTAGTTCACTTCGGCTTGCCATCAACTGCTCACAGAAACAGGACACTCTGGGCAACCTGGCCTTCCATGCCTCATTTCCTTCATTTTTGGAACAGAAAAATAGTAGTACCAACCGCACAGAGCTTGAAAACTGCAGGGACTGTTACACATAAAGACACCAGAGCAGTGCCCAAGTAGAGCAGACTGGAAGTCGATGTGAGCTACTCCAAGGGGGGAGGAGGGCAGACACCACTCGGGATCTGCTGCTTCCTGTTTATCTCTAATCTTCCCAGAACCTTCCGTTCTCTCCCCGGCCCTATCCATGCAACGTTTATTTATCTCAAACCTAAAAACGATGCGTGGACATTCTGAGAAAGCCCACCGACTGGGGCCCTACGGCACAGTCACCCTGTCACACGCCATCGTTTGCCAAGTTCTAGAGCTGCTTTTCAGTTCTTAACATTCACCTGCTCACCGTGCCTCCAGGAACTAGGCTCTTGAAATCGAAGCACATTAAGCATAGAGACAGTCCGTGTTCTACGAAAGTTACCAAAGGACAAAAACCACCTTTATTTATTCTCTAAGTGGACTTTATTCTCTGTTCTCTAAAGAACACGGAACTGTTAAAGACTTATCTCTTAAACTCTAAATTTCAAGTACACAATGGAGATGGAACCCATAGATGCAAACCTGCTTTTCAGATTGCCATAATTTAAGGCCGGATAATGGAATTGCTACAGAAAAATCAGACAACTCGTCTAGAAAAGGGAAATGAGATATGATCTAAGAGTATTGTGGCCACAAAAAGTGTCTTATTCCTCACATTTCTAACTTATCACATAGGAACTTCCAAAAAAACCAACCAAGACGGGGGACTAGAGAGAGACGGCTCAGCTGCTGGGAGCACTGGCTGCTCTTCCAGAGGACCGGGGTTCAGTTCCCAGCACCCACACGGTGGCTAATAACCACCTGTAACTCCAGTTCCAGGGGATCCAGTACCCTCTTCTGGCCTCTGTGGTACACGGACATGTGTGCAAACGAAACACTCATACACACAGAATTAAAAAATACAAACTAAGCCATCGACATGGGGCTGAAAGATGACTCAACCGTTAAGAGAATCCAGGTTCAGATCCCAGCACCCACATGGTGGCTCACAACCATCTGTAACCCCAGATTCAGAGGCTCCAATGCCCTCTGCTGGTCTCCATAGGCACAAGGCATGCACACGGTACACAGACATATATGTAAACAAAACATCCATACACATATAAAATAAAACTAAAAACAAACAACAAAAAATTCCACCAAGTTAAAAAGTATCTTAAAGGGAAGTTTATGAAGACCACAAGTGAGAGAACTGTAATTAATCAACCCAAAGGATTAATGCAAACAAAACACAGGAGCCTGAAGGCAGTGTTCAAGAATTCTATTGGGGAAAATGGGCTAGCGTATAAAAACACACAGGAAAACATTCTCATTCATGAGAAATACAAATTGAAACTATTCCAGTGTATCATTTCTTACCCATTGGTTAACAAACCTTACAATATACTACATGGTGAAACTTAAACCATAAATAAACAACTATGACTAACAAGCATTTTCACAACAAAAAAAACCCAACAACACTATGGAGTGGGATATGGAAGTGTTCAACACAACTGCAGGTATTTGTCTTTCGTTAACAATTCTACTTCTAGGAATCTCTATCACACTAGCCTGACCAAAAATATGAAAAGACACAAGCACAAGACTATTCACTACGGCAGTGTGTGCAAGAGCAAAAGCCTGGAGACGATCCAAACACTGACTGAAACACGCTGGTATATCTCTACACTAAAGTATCAGGAAGCCGGAAGAAGAGATGAGGAAAACCCCTAGACACTATCACGGATGTACTAGCAAGTGTGAGTGTGGGGGGGGGGGGGGGGCCACAGAGAGGGAGCTACAAACAAGGTGATAAAATGATGCATGCTTTCCTAAGCCATGAATTAAAGCTGAGAATACGGCTGGAGAGATGGCTTAGTGGGTAAGGACAAGCCCGACAACCAGAGTTCTATCATGGTGAAGGAGAGTTGTCCTCTACACACCTCTCTACCTCTCCCTCCCTCTCTCTCTCTCTCTCTCACACACACACACACACACACTCACACACACACACACACACACACACACACACACACACACACACACACACACTCACACAAATAAATATATAACAAACGAAAACTAAGAATGGCTGAGGGAAAAGGAGAATAGGTAGAATATAAAGCTATACTTCTGAGCTGGAGAGATGGCTCAGCGGTTAAGGGAACTGGCTGCTCTTCCAGAGGTCCTGAGTTCAATTCCCAGCAACCACATGGTGGCTCACAGCCATCTGTAATGAGATCTGGCGCCCTCTTCTGGCATGCAGGCAGAACACTGTATACATAATAAATAAATAAATCTTTTTTTTTTTTTTTTAAAAAGAAGGTATTCTTCTTTGAATATATTGCTTTATAGATTTCACTTTGTAATCATGAATATTTTTCTATAACTACAAAGAATAAATTTCCAAAGAAAGCCAATCCTTATAAGTTGAAGTAAAATTTAAATGTATATATATCCAAAAAAGCTGTCCCAACACTAAGTGGTACCTTTATTATCAGGTTCCATTTGCAATCATCATTTTGACTTTACATGGTATTTTCATCATCAACCAACTTTAGTCCCCTAGCTGCCTGCTGAACGAACAGCTAAACAAAGATCAGCAACGTCTGTGAGTACCATCAGGTGAAGAGTAAACACTAAGTTAGGACTGACATACAACACCTGAACCCTCTCATCATTATAACAGAGACGCCCAGACACTGTGAGCTTCCCGATGGGCTCACATTCACTTTGGAGTTAGCCCGGGAAGGCATCGGGAGGACAGCGGACTGTGCACAGGACAGCAAGGGTGGTTTGGAGGGCAGCAAAAGACAAGGGTCCTAGAGGAAATACTGACCATCTGTGAACATAAGATGCACACACACAGGCTACTGATCTGTTGCTTTATCTAAACACAGCCCTGCCTGTCCTTGCTGGTGAACCTCGGTAAAGGACAGAAACTACACAAGGCTTAGAAACCGCCGAAAGGCACAGACCTTTCGTGGTCTGGGCCACACATTTAGAAAACACTATTTTATCTACCAAATGTTTATCGGTATAAAGTGGTTCATTTTTTTAAACCTTGAGAAAGTCACTTTTCCTCTCCCACCATTTAGTGACTCTCTCAAACAAGCAGCTTGTCCCATGGAGGTTTGCTACATTTTATATTTAAGTGTTAAATTTAAAGAATATAGAGACATCTACCGTCTGAGGCATTTTTAAATGTTAACCATGTGCTTTAATAGACACTTAAGCCAGGCATGGGAACACATATCTCTAATCCCACCACTTGGGAGGCGGAGGCAGGAGGAGCAGGAATTCAAGGGCTTGGTTACATAAAATCCTGCCTCAAAGAAACAGAAAGAAAGAAAAAAAAATGGGGCTGAAGTGATGGGGTGGACAAGAGCCCCTGTGAAAGGAGGGGTGGTACAGGCTGGAGCAGGTGTGGTGGCTTCTGTTTACCATGCAGGTTGCCTTCTCAGGGAGTAACAGACAGGGCACAAAAATGGTAACCACACCCCAAACCCCCAGGGTTCCCCGACATAGCACCACGGTACCCAATGGAAGAGAGGCTTCATTTTTCATAAAAGTCTCCATATTTCATCTACTCTTTCAAATGAACAATTTTCAACTTGAAATCCACTAAATGTAGGTCCTCCAATTCAGTCCAGACTACACGGGAAAGCAACTTTACAAAGCTTGTGTGCTGATCTACTCTGGCATTTCTGTCCGACTAGGAAAAGCCTGCTGCTCAACAACAAAGCACCTTGTCTTCTCTAACATTCTGGTGGAAACCCTGTAGGGCCGTCGGGCTGTTCTGCTCGCTGGGGAACAAGGAAAGAGGGTTATCACTTGCTATGGTCACACACTGGCTTTTGGTAGGTAACAGAGTGATGGTTAAAACAGGCTTCGACATGGAGCTCCTTACCAATAATCATTGCAGTGAATAGGTCTCTATATAAGAAATTAAACAGGAAAGGTTCATACCAGGCCTCAACTCCCACCACTGCAGTCACTATGTAGACAAAAGAAATAGTCTGGAAGGAAACACAGACAGAACAAGGCGGTATCAACAGCTGAACAACGAGGAAGCCAGCAGTGCGTTACGCATCATTAAGTCCAATCAAAGTGATTACTAAAAAGGGCTTAAAACTGCTCTGCGGTAAATCCTCTTCCCCTCCAATACCGCCATTAAATAGCCGCCATGTAGGCAATGCAGGCAAGTGGTCACCATCTGGAGCCCTTCAAAGGCAGCTCACAAACCGGTTAGGTCATAGGAGGACTCCATTTGTCCACCTAACCAACTCCATCAGCAAACGTGTACCCAGCTTCCGGTTTCTCTACTGGCTTCTTACGGCAGACGGAGAAACAGCAGCACAAGAAGCCGAGAGCCCAAGGCAGAGAATTAACACAGGTCTATGCGACGAGACAGAGCTCGCTGCTCGATGGAGTCGGCAAGGAGGACAAATGGCCCACAATCCAGTCCTATGTGCACTTTCTCCAGAACATAAAACAAAAATCAACATGTCTAACTAAACCATGTTTAAGAACATTAAGAAGTTATTAAATTTTAACATAAATAATGGCATTGTAATTATAACATTTTTAAAGATTTTATCATTTAGAGATACATTACAAAATACTTAACCACATTTCTGTAAAAGAATTAGGAAAACACGGACAGCATTCATGACGCTAGAGGCCATGTGGAGATAACTGCTAAAGCTAAGGACTAAGTCCATTAAAGGTTCACTGTCACGTTTTACTTTTATATGTTTGAAACCAATGATGTGCTGGGTGGTGGTGGCCCAGTCTTTAGTCCCAGCCTTCAGGAGGCAGAGGCAGACGGATCTCTGTGAGATCAAGGCCAGTCTTGTCTACAGAGTGAATTCCAGAACAGCCAAGGCTACACAGAGAAACCCTGTCTCAAAAACAAAAACAAACAAAGAAAAAAAGAATCCAATAGTGCTAGGAACAGAGCTTATGGACTTTTACATGTTGGGCAAGTACTCCAGCACTGTGTTACATCTCCATCCCAGAAAAAGAAAATGTTACAGCATCAATTCTCTCTCTCTTTTTTTTAATCTTTATTTTTTAAAAAAATTTTTAAATTTTATGTGTGATTTGCCTACATGTATGTCTGTATACCACGACTGCCTGGTGCCCAGGGAGGCCAAAAGAGGACATCAGAGCCCCTAGAACTGGAATTACAGACAGTTGTAAGCCACCATGTAGGTGCTGGTATTGAACCTGGGGCCTCTGAAAAAAGAGCCAGTGCTTTTAACCCTCCAGAGCCACCTCTCCAGCCCCACACATCAGTTCTAACTTGCTAATGCCTAACACAGTGAAGGGCAGTAAACACTCCAAAACATGCAGAGCATTCAGGGCAGTACTTACCACTTGGCTAATGTCATAGCCCCAGGGCAGGAAAAGAATGCCTGTGTTATACTTTTCCCAGTGAGACAGGATGAAAGAAAACAGAACTACCCAGAGCAGGAGGTAAAGGACGAAAACACTGACGCCAGTCGGTCCGCGTCCGAAGATGGAGTACACAGTCACAACAAAGTAAACACATGACCAACTATCCAGGCCATGGTCAAAAAGCTCCCCTAAAGGGGTGCTGGAATTGGTTCTGCGTGCCTGTTTTCCATCCACTCCATCTGCAACAGAACACAGAGCACAGACAGGTCAACAGCTGGCCAGCACGGAGAAATCAGCTTCAGGAAACTGCTGGAAAGACACAAAACCAGTCATCCAAATGTTGTGCTGCTCTGAAGTACTCCAGAGTCTACTCTAGAGCTCCTGCAATCCAAACACCTCAGAAATAAGGTAGTTCCTTCTTAAAAGATTATTTACTTGTTTGTTTGTTTATTTGCACTCGAGCGCACACACTTGAGCCACGGATGTGTAAAAGGTGCCAAAGGCCAGAAGACGGCACTGAATCCCCCGGGGCCTGCTCTGGGTACTGGGAACAGGACTCCGATTCTCTGGAAGATCAACAGCACCCTTACCCACGGAGCCATCTCTCCTCCGGCCCTACAATTTCTCAAGGTAGAATCTAAAAACTCACATCATCTGACACTGAATGGCGTCATTTCAGATCTAAGAAGGAAGCATTCTAGTTGGACTCCAGACTCCTCCACTCAGCTGTGGCACAAATCTCAAGTTCTCACAGCATTCCCACGGTTGCTCGTTACGGTTTCTAACTAAGCACTTCTTGCTCCAGGAGTCAAAAGGACTTCAGTCATCACACTCCTCTCTCTCACCCTCTGTGAGCTAAGGGTCTCTCTTCACAGCTCTGCTCTTCCCCTCACTTGAAGGCAGTCAGCAGATACTATGACCCAACTGGTTGAACCTGTACATCGCACTCACTGTTCTTGGTGTCATAAAAATGACAAGAAGGGGCAGGAGGGACAGCTCAGCAGTTAGGAACACCGGTTCATCTTCCAGAGGACTCGGGTTTGAGTCCCAACACCCATGTGGTGACTCACAACCATCTGTAATTCTAGCTCCAGGGGATCTGACAGCCTCTTCTGGCCTCTGCAGGCACCAGGCACACACATGGAATACAGTCATATACACAAGCAAAACACCTCACATATGTACAATTAAAATAAATAAATAAACACGAGAAGACTCTTACAATTGAGTTTGCCCTTGGAGTGTTCACAACTGAGAAAGGGACAGAAGACAATCACTAAAGGCTTGGTGCGTCACAAACCGTGAGAGAGGCCGAAAAAGGCAAGGGTTCCCTTCAGATAAGTAGACGGGCCTTTAGAACACGCTGAAATGTGAGTGGGGACTTGAGGACTGAATTGGATTTCAGCAGGTAAGAGATACAGGAGTATGCCATTTCAAGAGGAGAGAAGTGCTATCAGCAACATGGCTGGGATGGAAAACCACAGGGCAGATTCAGAAGCCCTGAGATGTCAGGGAGCACACACAACTCATGCTCGGAAAGTGCGAGCAGTGGAGTCTGACTCGAAGCCAGTAGGTGGAGGCAGTATCAGAAGGCTAAAAGAGGGCTGGAGAGCTGGCTCAGCATGTGCTGCTCCTGCAGAGGACCCAGGTGCGGTTCCTAGCATCCACGTGGCAGCTCACGACCACCCTTAACTCCAGTTCTAGGAGATCTGATGCCTTCATCTGGCCTCCTCAGACACTTGACATGCACATGGTGTACATCCGTACATGCAGGTAAAACATTCATACATCAAAAACGAAAAGAAAAGTAAACCACCACACTTGGTTCTCTACTAAAGACAAACAAAACAGAACAAAACCTCTAACAAGAGACTTGAGCCACTCCAAACGTTTTAGGGATTAGACGTATGACTAGAAGGACAAGAGACAAAGTCATGCTTTAGTGAGGTTCGCTCAAACAGTGTGATTGACAGGCTGGAAACAGGGGCCCTAGTCGGATAGCCTAGCTAGAGGGGGAGCACCACGGGAATGAAAAGCTGGTGGCAGAGGAACAGTAACAAAGAAGGACCCAAACTGGGGTGTGGGGGTGCAGACTTCCACTCAGGTGACAGAGATAGGAGGGTCTCAACTGGAGCTGAGCCACAAGCGGCACTCTCAGAGAAAACCAAACAAGTAAAACTGAGAGACTACGTAAAGATGAGATGCACAAGAGACCCAGGAAGACAACTGCACAAGTTTCCAGCCTGGGTACCAGGAGAGCAGCAGTGTTCTCACAGAGAGGGAAGTGGGGGATGAAGCGGGGCGGGGGCGGGGCCCACGGGGTTGGGATTCTTTTCTGCTCCTATGTAGCTGAAACAGCTTTAAAAAAAAAAAAATCTTTCTCTTATTCACTGGCTTAACAATTTTCTAATTTCTGTGCAACGCATATGGTTAAACCATCAAATACACAAAATACATATTAATTAGATTTTGTGCATTTTTTTCAGCAACTTCATTCCAGCTCCCTACGGTAGGTCTGAGTATGTTTCAGAATGTAATTTTTTGCTCAGAATGGTGGTGATTTATAAGCTATTCCATTATTATGAAAGACATGCTCAACCCTAACAAAACTACTACAGTACCAAATAATTGTTGGAATACGCGCACAGCCACACTTAATAAAGACTGTAAACTGCCTCCTGTTAGCTCAGGACTAGTTCTGCAACAAAAAGCTTGTGTCAAGTGAGGCTCTTTGCAGAACTGTGGACCTGAAATAACTGGAACATGGAGCCTTAGCAGGCTCGTATGAAATGCTGTGGATAGCAAGAGCTCACAGGTCACCCCATCTTTCCCTAGTCCTCAGGCAGCCCTTGGCAACGAACTCCATTAGCAGCACTTCAAAACCTGCTCACCTTTTCTAACAAGTGTATAAAGCCTCTACTCAAGCATGTAACCTTTAGCTAAGGTTTCCCTGGCTCTTAGAGACCTCACTGATCTCTTCTCTCTTACGGCTCTCGCCTCCAACCACATCAACACTAATGCGCCACATTATACTGGTTCTGCAAGAAAAATCATTTTTATTTGAAAAGACCTAAACAACTTGAACTTCAGGTCTGCTATTTTACATGTATTTGAAAACCAAATATTGAACTGCTACTGTGTGCCAGGCAGTGTTCTAGAAACTTAGGATGTAATAGTAAACAAGAATAAACTCAGTCTTAATATCTATGTCAGGATTCCTTGCCAAACTTAAGGCAAAAATAGTGTCTTACTCCAGAGCTGGTAAATCTGTGGTAAAGGCCCAATAATGGATACTTTCGGCTTCATGGTCATACTTCATGGTGAGACTCGGCTGCAACTCCTCAACAGACCTTTATGGCAGGAAGGCAGCCACAGAGAGCACATAAGGAAAAGCACACCGACCGCTGTGCTCCAGTAAAGCTGTGCCAAGGGAGTCCACTCTCGTCAGGGGTGTGGTCCTTGGTAGGCTGCCCAGATGGCGCTAACTCCACCCATGACATATGGCAGCACGAACTGAGCTCAGTGGGTAAAGAAGCAAAGACATGAGGACATGAAGCTGGGAAGAGGATGCAGAAGGGGCTCCGAGAAAGTTGAGGGGTGGGGGTTGACACAACCTAAACATATAATATGTATGTAGGAAATTATAATATGTATGTAGGAAATTACTAAAGAGCTCTGGAAAATTTCCTGAACAACAAAAATAAACCATACAACAAAAAAACATCAACGAAAACCTTACTTCCAAAAATAGAAGTTATCCAGATTTGGCCTGCAAGCAGTCGCCTGCCAATTCCTATTTTATTCTGAATCCCTAGCAATGACGCTGCTTTTCATAGATTCAAAAATATAAATGAACAAGACATTAACAGACCCTAGTTAAAATGAGTAAAGCATAGAATAAAATGATAATTTAATGAGTGTAGTCTTGCTGACATGCCAGCCACGACTAAAGGAGCAGTTGCCAGCTTCTTACCTAGAGTGTAGGCTACAAAGTTGAGGATGCCCACGACAATCCAAACCCAATCAGGTACATGCTTGTGACCTGGTGCTGTAAAGGGAAGCAACCAAGATTTTAACAGTCTAACTACAATAGCTCTCCCCACCCCACCTGCCGCCAGTGAGAAACGGGGCTACTTGTTAATGAGAGGTTGAGTTACTTCACAACGTATTCTGATGCAGAACTAAAATAGTGAAAGTTAGCAGGTCCCAGGTTAGTAGGACTCAGGCCTGGAGTTCCAGCTACTCAAGAGGCTCAGGCAGAGGGATTGAAAGTTGGAAGCCAGCCCGGGCAACTCAGTAAGACCCTGCCTCAAAACAAAATTGGAAAAATTCGGCTGGATTTAAAGCTTAGTGGTACAGTACATGCCTAGTATGTGTAAGGCCCTGAGTTTAATCCCTATTACACACAAAAAAAGACAAACAACAAAAAACCTAACAAGGCCCAACTAAGGACCATTTTCAGAGGAAACCAGGAGTCATGTAAAGACATGAACAGATGGAAGGCGACACTGTTTTCCCTCAGGAAGAGAGGCGATTTTTCTTCTATGACTGGAGATAGGAGAGGGTCATCCCTGGCATTGTAGGCATGGTGGGCCCTACTTAGTACTGATTCTTAGACAGTTTGACAACCCTAAAGTTCTGTCTACATGTAAATCTTTTTTTTTAATGTCTGTGAACTTATGCTATATGCTAAAGCTCCCCCTGAAATCCTGACTCTCTTGCCCCCCACATACAAAGTGCTGGGATTACAAGCATGCACCATGACACCCAGATTCTAATTATTCAGTATTTGCCAGAGCCTCGCTGCTTTTTAGACGGTATATCTAAATGTAATAGGTAAGTTGCTACTGTATTTCTTTTCTTTCTTTCCATTTTTTTGTTTGTTTGTTTGTTTTGTTTTTCAAGACAGGATTCCACTGTGTAGCTGACCTGGAACTCACTCTGTAGATCAGGCTGGCCTCGAACTCACAGAGATCCACTTGCCTCTGCCTCCCAAGTGCTGGGATTATAGGTGTGCGCCACCACTGCCTAGCACTACTATATTTCTAAAATTTAACGGAATATACATAATATAAAAAACAACTTAGTTTTATATACAATTCCAGCATCTTAATATAACATTTTAACACCCAAAACTTTCAGAAACATAAGCATCTTAAGATTCAGAAATTAACTAACTACACCTTATTTTTTGCTACTCAAAACATTTAAAATTATGTATTAAGATAATAAAATTCTTACCTGAAGCATAAAAATCAGGATCGAAGTATGTCAGAAGTAGGAAATTGAATACAACCAGCAGAAAGCCAGAGAAGGTTATAAGATTGGGAGCCAGCCAAGTAGGAAATACCTGTTGTTTTTTTTCAAAATAGTTGTAAAATAAGTAAAGAAAGCTCTGTTCAATAAACATCACAACATACAAAATTAGGTCATAAAAAGCTATCAATTTGAAAGATCATATGCAGGTGTTATGTATATTAAAATATAAACAATAACTCCAGCTGGTAGATGAACATCTCTTTCTTCTCCTGTCCCCTATCTTTAAATGATTCTCTAATGCACAAACTTCTATAATGATAGCATTCAGCTAATTTTAGAAGGTTTCAAAGCCCTTTTATAAAAATGGCCAATTACAGTGTATTTATTTAGATTTCAACAGGGAGACACCCCCAAAGGGAGAGTTGACTGGGGAGGGGTGAGAGGGTGGTACCTCTGTTACAGCTTACTGAGAACACTGTTGGCTGGGCCTGCAAGCACACTCTGTAATCTCAGTTACTCAGGACAGTGAGGCAGGAGGATTCCAAGTCCAAATCAACTCAGCAAGTCCCTGTTTTAAAAGTAAAAAGGGGCTGGAGAGTTGGCTTAGTGGTTAAGAGCACTTGTTCTTCCAGAGGGCCTGAGTTCAATTCCCAGGACCCACGTGGTGGCTCACAACCATCTCTAACTCCAGGTCCAGGGCATCTGATGCCCTCTTCTTACCTCCAAGGGCACTAGGCATGCACATGGTACAGAAATGCACGTAGGCAAAACACTCACATATAAAATAATAAATAAATTTAAAAGCAAATTTTTCCAAAAGTAAAAAGAAGGCTGAGGATACAGTTCTGTGTGGACCACTGGGACCCTAGCTCAATAACTAGAACTGCAAAGAATAAACTGAGGGTGGCAGCGCTAAGACTCTGTGAGATGGGTTAAAACACTCAAAACTTGTTCAAACAAAAAAGCACGCCATTAATAATCTTACCTTCACTATAGCGTTCCAAAATGGATGCATGACATACAGAGAGAGCGGGTTGGTATCCAGAGCACTGTACTGTTAGAAAGGAAACATTTCAGAGTTAACCCGTATTACTAAAACATATAATAGTATTTATTAAAGGAAAACAATAGTGCAAATCAGTCCTGGAGAGCGCATCTATTGGTGTCCTATCCCCTCCGGACAACAACACTAGAGTAGCAACCCAATGGGACCAAAGTGTTAAGCAGTCAGGTATTACTTTATGGCCAGAGGGAAGGGCCACAGAGGAAGCACACAGACCAGCCCGAAGCATGGAGTTAATCCTAATGTGGTTGTTTCATTCACATACACCAAGTCCAAACTGCCAGGATCATCACTAACTCATCCTTGCCTCTCAATCAACTTTATAATGTTACGGTGTTTCAGTAAAGACATTCACATCACTGACCAGGGATAGAGCTGAGTAGTAGAGCACTGAGTTTAGGCACTGGCACTGAGGGAACACTTTGAAGAGAAAAGAAAAGAAAAGGATATATACATATGTACACATTTTCAGTTGTTACAGTTATTATACAGGATACGTATGTAATATGCATACTGTGTACATTAAACACAGACCAGGCATTTTCTCAATCTCCTACATCCCTCTTAATCTACAGGGGTCTAGCTGTTCCCCCTCACACACACCATTAAGACTCTTAGTGGACAACTCTGAGTGACCTTTCTGTCCTATTCACCTGTGCACTGAATGTGACAGCCCTTCTCTCAGAGGGCTATCACAGGATGTGGTAAGTTAATAGTACATAGTGAGTGCAATGTTAGAATTAGCTATTATTACTACAGGTGCTGGGCACCAAAGGGGTGACAAACCTTTCCCAGTAGAAAAGCAGATTGTATAAATGAATGAACGAACACAAAAGTTAGGGCTGTATGGTAAGTGAGTTATATTATACCCCAAGTACAACTGAAATATTTAGTAAGAAATGGGTGGGGGGGAGAATTGCAAAGAAATTTTAGCAGATAAATTATATGTAAATATGTACAAGTTATGCTAATAATTTACACACACACACACACACACACACACACACACACACACACACACACTGCAGGATGGCTTCTCCTTGGTAGAGGAGAGAAGAGATATAAAACTAGAAAGAGCCAGATAGAGTGATGCAAGCTTTGATCCCATCACTGATACTGAAGCAGGATGATGAGCTCCAGGTCAGCCTGGGCTACATAGTGATAACCAGGCATCAGAAGAACCCCAAAACGCCAACAAGATGGCTCCGCAGGAAAAGGCATTTGCAGCCAAGACTGACAACCCAAGTTCATCCAAGGGACCACATGGTGGAAGGAGAGCACCACTCCCGGAAGTTGTCCGCCCACCTCCACACGGTCCATGGCAAGCACGTGCACACACAGACACACACAGTGCCTCACAGACGTCACCACACGGAAGCTCCACAGAAAGGAGGCACCTGCACTGGCAGCTCACCTGGCCCTCCAGACCTAGGTACCTGGACGGAGTCTACAGCACAGATGACTCACTGGGAGTGCCCTGGCCTCCACTTAACACAGTGTACCCAGACCATGGCATGGAGCCGGGGGCCAGAAGAACTGGAAAAACACCCATTTCAAGCCCATCTGCTGCAAAGGACCAGAGCTGGAAGAAGTTCAAGTAAGGAGGAAACAGTTTAAGGCACAATGTGAGCATCTAATGAGCGCCATGTCCGAAACTCCATTTATTCAAAGAGCCTCGTTCATCAACTCTCCATAATTTTGAATTAAATAAAAAAGTTTTTGTTTTGTTTGTTGTTGTTGTTTTTGTTGTTGTTATTTTGAGAAAGGGTTTCACTACGTAGCCCTGGCTGTCCTGGAACTCGGTCTATAGACCAGGCTGGCCTTGAATTCTGAGATCTGCCTGCCTCTGCCACCAGAGTGCTGGGATTACGGCATGCGTCACCACCGCCATCTCAAAAGAAAATCTTTAATAGATGGCATTTCAGTGTGAAAAAAAATCTCTTTTTATGTCTGACACTTTAAACCTCTACTCCAGAAGCCCAGAATAAGTTAAGAATAATATAAAATAAATACAAAAGGGCCATTTTACCCTCTGGGTTCCTAATTAGACATTCAATAGCAGTCAGTGAGCTCAAGTATACTACAGCAAGGAGATCAGTGTGCGCTTCAGCAAACGACAGCCCTAACCAACACTCGGGCTCTCAACCTACAGCCATGCTTTCTGAAGGCCACACACCATGTAAACCAATCTTGACCGTCCAGTGAGTCACAAGGAGTAAGAGTGACATGACAGCTTCACTATGCGGAGAAAGCCAGGACACACGATTAAAGGTGCTAACTGACCCCGACAGAGGTGGTGGCTCATGTTTGTTGAGTACACTTTGACTTTGCACTGTGATGTTCTGGTTCGCCCCAGAGAACGTGACCCTAGCAACGCATCCAGGGTACGTCTAGCATGGCTTGCTTTGGCTTCACAGTCTACGGGGCATGTGTGATCCACAACTGAGCAGTCTGAATGACCTGGCTCTTTAAGTACTTCCGGTTACCAAGAACAAAAACCCTCACCCCTTCCCGAAAGAAGACAGTCTGATGCTAAGCAACTTTCCCATACACTCCACCCCAGTATCTCAACCCTATGTTTCAATTTGCTCTACCAAGTTAAGCAGAGGAGGCCTAACTAGCAGGCCTTTCAACACCTGGCAATAGCCTTCCCTAACACAGCAACTTGCCCCTCATCTGTTCCCACACGTATGCCTTTTGTGGCTCCTCAGTGGGTGACCGAGGGCAAAGGGCAAACGGAAACTCAAGTGATGCTGAGAAGAAAGGAAACAGGACCAGAAGCCTCCGGTCCTCAACAAGGCAGGCTCCTCAGACAGTTTATGTCCTCTGGCAACCATCTATACCTTCAGATACCTTCAGTCACCCGGCCACCCACAACTGTCCCACACAGGCCACTGGGCCACCCTGCTCTATACTAGTAGGAGGCTAGCTGTCACAGGCAAAGCCCAAGACTACACTGGCCATTAACACTTCTCTTGCTGGAGTCGACTCATTTGCTACACTTCCCAGATAGCTTTATTTTTAACATCTAGATGAAATTGCCCTCGAGAGTTAAGGGTGCCTCCCAAACTCTCAGCATGTAATTCTAGTCATGCTAATAACCCATTCCTTAGGTCTTATAAAAATGCCAACTGAGGTAAAACTTCTAGGCCACTCCCTCGGGATGGCTATTGCATTACATCTCATCATTTTTATTTGGATACAGAACTCTGTAATGTCATCTAAAGTAATTACGTAAGAGACTTTCATAGTCTGGGTGAAATCCACAGTTACTCTAAGCAATGTTTGGCCAAATAGCCTAAACCAAAAGCTGTTTTAATATTCCAACTGGAGTCGGGAAACAAAGCATAATGCACTCTTCCCCCATCCGTAGGCTACAATATTTACAAATACCTGTGCTCTCTGACAGAGGCTGTGCTACATCACTGGCAGGAGAATAGTGAATAAAACCAGCATTTGGTGAGCTCATTGAGTCTGTAGTCTAACGTGAGCTAGGTCGTACGGGAGAGCACAGTACACATCACGAGGCAGGATGAGACAAGCTATGAGTGATGTAAACTGCTGTGGGAGAGAGCAGGCAGGCAGACAGAAGGGAGGCACTACGGGGCCAAGAGCCACGCCTGGAAAGGCTGCCACACACCAAAAATACCAAGAGCCACCGGAGGCTGAGGCAGAGGGATTTTCCCCTAGCACTTTTAGAGAGGGTGTGGCCCTGCCAGGACCTTGGTTTTCTAGCCTCTAGAACTGTGAGAAAACAAATTTATGTTAAGGCCACCTACTGCGTGACAATTCCTATGGCATCTCTGGGAAACCAAAGAAGATGTGACCTACCCCCCATTACCTAGTCACAGTGGTCAGACCAACTGTGCCCCTGAAGGTGAGAAGGTAGTCAATGTACACAACACAGTATCAAGCAAAAGAAGCTAGACCTGAAAGAGTATGTTTCTACTGGGTCCACGACATGTATGAGGTTCAAAAGAGAAGCCATGGGCTAGAGAGATGACTCAGTGGTTAAGAGCATGTACTGCTCTTGCAGAAGACAAGAGTCTGGGTCCCAACACCCAGGTCAGGTGAGGGTGCTCTGGTGTGTGTGTGTGTGTGTGTGTGTGTGTGTGTGTGTGTGTGTGTGTGTGTGCACCACATGGTACCGGCAGGGGCGAACGAGGGTATGGGACCCCCTGGAAGTGGAGTTACATGTGGTTAGAAGCCAACCAAGTGGGTGCTGGGAACTGAACCTGGATCCCCTGCCCTTAACCACTGAGCCATCTTTCCAGCCCCTTCCACAGCAATGTTTTAACATCATCATGGGAAGCTGCCCTAACCGGTCCCCTGCTAACAGTACCATACTGTACTTGTTTTATGTTTTGTGTTGAAAGGACATTTTTATCAGCTCCCTCACTTAATATTATAAAGTCTATATGAGAGTATTAATTGCCATTTGACAGACTCTAGAATCACCTGGGAGATGGGCCTCTGAGCATGTGCAAGATTATGCTAACTAAGGTGGGAACTGCCATCCCTGCCCCCTGGGCAGGGGACCCTGGACCATAGAATGGAGAGCAGCAGCTGAGCAGCAACAGCATCCATCCCTCTTCTCCTGGCCGTGGATCTGATGTGAGCAGCTGCTGCCAACCCCAGCTGCCTTGGTTTCCCTGCCATCAGCTGGGAGGGAAAATAAATCCTTTGTCCTTTAAGTTGCTTTGGTCAAGAGTGTTTTATCCTAGCAACAGGAAAAGAGACTAAGGTAACGACTATCTGTCGCCATCTTACAGATAAAGAGGCTATAAAATCCGACTAGCACAGCTAATAAATGGGAAGGTCTAAGGTATACATCCTGAGTCCAGTAAGATGAAGTCATCTTAGAACACTCCAGTGAAACTGATTGCTTTGTTGTAAGCCAGACTATGCTGTCTTGACACAACCATAAACTCCGAGATCAGTGGTTCTCAACCTGTAGTTACAATCCCTTTGGAGCAGACAACCCTTTCTCT